CAACCATCGTTGGACTATGCAACTAGGTGAGGATTACCCAACTTAGTAGATGTAAACACCCTTATTATTATTTCTCCGCTTATATTCATCAACTTGCCTAATTAAAGTGCGACTCTAGATGATGCCTGGCTGGATATAAAAACTACTCAAGGATTACTAAGAAACAAAATTTTAAGGTTATGACACAACAGGTATCAAATCGACTTCCACAATTTGGAGGCTTTAGGTGTTGGGACAATACCGATTTTGAAAATTTTCCCAAGTCTCCTCAACTTTAGCCTCACCTCTTTAGGAACCTATATACTTTCAAAGTAAGTTATGACTCCTAAACCTTTTCAAATATTTTGGTGGATTCTAGAATTTGGGGAAATCAACAACAAAATAGAAACACACACATAAGTGACTCGACAACACATGCACATGACTTGATACACTACATTAACAACAAAATCAAAAAATTAAATATAAATTAACTTATCAAAAGTAAAACAAATAAAAAAAATAAGCCTAAACTTAAGCAAATAAAAATGAAATACTTAAAGTGGTAAAACTCCTCCCACACACTTAAATCTTACAGTGTCCTTAATTTAAGAATAAAAGAGTAAAAAAGGAGGGATAGAACCTGAGAAGAGGACCTCAACGGTAGTCACGCCTACCATCTTTACGCTCCATGCAATGCCTTGTAAAGTAGTGACACATGTTCTCCATTAATAGGGTCTTGTTTCCTAGTTGTCAAGCATCCTCAGTGTCCCTGACTTGCAAATTTTTCATTTTTTGGCTCATTTTTTGCATCATCTGAAGACATCGAGTCTCACCCAACTGTATGCTCTACATTTATTATTGTATATCATAAAGCATCTGAACGTTCTCCATCTCACGGTCGTTGCGCAAATGTGCCTTACCACGCAAGTCATCAACCTCATGCCGCGACACGTTAAGCTCATAGTCAATGTTGCTGCAATGGTGATATATACAACCTGCAAAAGAAGCTAAAGAAGCATAAGGCGTATATGGGAGAAGGGGCTTCCTAAAGGTGATAAAATCACAAGAGGAGGGTTGAATTGTGTTGAATTTTTCTTTCTTTTTAAACTATTGGTCAGATTCTATGCACAAACTATAGAATCTGATTCAATCAGAGGTAGGTAGAAAATATGAAATGGATGAAAGAAGAGAGAGAGAGACAGAGTTATACTAGTTCCTCTCACAACTTAATAGTGATCCAGTTGCCTTGTACTTACAAGTATTTTGCTGAAGCTCACAAGCAAGAGGCTTCCAATGGTCAAACACTAAAGTAAGAGATTTTATACTAAAGCACACAAGCAAGAAATTTCTAACGCTCAAGCAAACAAGCAAGATACTTCTATGCTCAAACACACAAACAAGAGACTTCAAATGCTCAAACACTTAGGAAGAGACTTTTATGCTCAAGCACACAACCAATATACTTCCAATGCTCAAATACAAAAGTAAGAGACTTATATGCTCAACCACACAAGAAAGAGACTCCACATGCTGAAACACTTAGTAAGAGACTTCTAATAATCCACCTAACAGATAAATGAAGTCGCCCCCGAGGAAACAACGGCCAGATCCCTCCGAACAGTTGCGGTCCTCCCTTGAGGACGGCGGTTACCCCGGTTCATCAGCTTGGTCACACGTTCCTCCACGGAGCCCATTGCACCTACAAGAAGAGCACAAGAAAAATAGTTAGCATCGAAAACCAAAAACGAAGAATAAGACCAGTCGGGGAGACGCCTAACTACCTAGGAGTTAGTGAGCTTCAGCCTCTGACCGACACTCGAGCAGAGCCTTTGTATTAATACATCGGATCTTCGTTCGTATCTCCCCGTTCGCCTTGCGGATATACTCCCCTTCGTGGAACACACACTTCTAAGGAGGAAGACGTCCGACGAAGTCCGTCAGCTTTCGGAAGGTCAAACTATCCTCCTCGCCCAGGCAGCTGGGTCGATAGATAAAGCTATCAGTGCTCGAACGAAAGTGCAGGTCCGCCCAACCCAAGGGGAAATTGGACTCATAACTATCCTCGAAGCGCCCGTCCACGACTATCACCTCTCGCCAAAAAGTGGTCTCGTAGGCCTCGTACGTCGCCGGTATGACCACGAACCATCTGTCTTTGAACCCACGCACTAAGTCAGTGTACGGCCGGAAGATTCTGGTCGGCTGCTTCAAAGAAACCCAGTTGTGACGACCAGCCATCGTCTGACACTGCAAATGGAAGACGCAGAAGAACAGCGGGATGGTAGCCCCGAGCTTAAGATAGTCACAAACAATTTCAAAGGCCCGGATGAAGGTGAGAGAGTTTGGATGGAGTTGGGACGGTGCCAACATCAGATGGTTGAACACGCCCTGCTGGAAACCCGTGAAAGGCAGGCGCATCCCAACCTCCTTAAAAGCGAACTCATACATCAGGAACCGACCACCGTCATACCGCGAACATATGCGATCCGACTCCCGTAGCCGACAGGCACGAAACTGACGGGGGCTCCCTGCCACCCTATCTTCGATCACGGAGAACATGTCAGAGTCGTCGTCGACGAACCTTAACATGTAGTTCAGAGGATCATCCCCGACCCATTCCTCTAATGGTCTCTTCGTGGGATCTGCGACGACCACGTCCTCACGACCTTCCTCGTCCTCGGACAGGTACCAATACACCTCCTCTTCGTCGTGGTCGGCCATTTTACTTGAAAAGTAGAGGAACTTGGTGAATTCGACAACCAAATCAAATCCACCCTTCCACCGCAGTTCAAGTGAAAGGGTGTGGTCGCCTAGACATCCAAAAGACGAGTCGGGGTAGCCTTGCCCCCCGAGGAGCCTAAGAAATATACTCTTTGTCCTCAGCGCACACATTCACTCGTGCTCGGGGCATTCATCAATTACCCTAAGGACGTTAAAAATCCTATCAATCCTCCCCGGGCCACTCATCGCAAGGGCCGGGGACAACCATTTACCGCCATAATTTCTAAAAACCCTCCGGCGTATTCACCAGAGAAGCCCGCAGTCATCCCGGCGCCCCCAGCGGAGCCACCGGAAATGCTAAACACCAGAAGGAAGCGAGAACTTACTTGATACGGTGGCAGAAAAAGATGTCGCGTCGGACTGAGAAATTGCGGAGGTCGAGCAGAAGAACCAAGGATGCCAGGCAGATATCTTTGGATGTTGGGCAGCTACAAAAGAGACAAATGAACTAAAAGACGAGCTAGATCCGCGTATATATATCCCTAGCACAGGAAACGAAGCGTCGCTAGGCACTCAGGTGCCTAACTCATAGCTGCCATAGGGAGACATGTGGCGACCCTCCGCCTTCCCTGCGTCTCTTTAGGTTCTCCCCCTCGACCGCGGGTTTCCCCCACGTCATGGATTCTTCTGGCCAGCATAACCACAGCCTGCCCGACAAAGCGACGCGTCCGACGCCCTTCGCTACTTAAGTCATAGCTCGCTTAACCGCGAACAACGACTTGGAGGGCTACTGTTCTGGACTGGGCCGACGCTTAGCCCACAATCGAGCAGGCCCAAACCCCACTGAATTTGGGCCCAATAGGACCTCACAGACGTGCAGAAGTTTCGTCTGGCACATCATCTTTCTCCGTCGAGCACAGGCCAACAGCCGTCGGGCAGGACCCTCGTGGATGTCCGGCCAACCTCTTTCCCCCTCATCGCCGGGCAGAGCCCAGCTTGCCCGGGGAGCTCCTCAGACCTCTCTCGTGTTCTCTACATGTCCCCCACGCAGGGACACGTCATCAAGTAACTACCCATGTCTTGGAGATTCGGTCTTCCACCTCCCGGATAGCATGAAACAGTTACACTAGGGCGAATACCACGTGCTGGACTTCACGACGGCACGTCAGCCCTAGCAGTTATCTATGTTGGGCATGGCAGCCCAGCCTAACGCAGAGTAACCGTTGGCTCTGCGCCGGGGGCTCATTATAAATACCCTCTTCCACTAGAGGGTCAGGTAACTTAACTTTCTCACTCTTCTCTCTGTACTTGTTATCACTCTGCTCGTCACTCACTATGGCATCGGAGTGTGTTTCAGGTACACCCCCTCCCTCCCCCCCTCCCCCCTATCCATCAAGGCAGCCAGTTCGATAGTTCAGACGCATGGAAGCTCATTGATCTCTCTAGTCAGATACGATCATACGATCATATATATATATATATATATATATATATATATATATATATATATATATATATATATATATATATATATATATATATATATATATATATATATATATATTGTTTTTGTAACATTCTCTAGCATTAGCATATCTTATGCTAGAGTATGTTTATTATTAATATTAGTTTTTAAATTTTAAAAAAAAAACTTGAATTTTAAATGTTAGTGGATCAACATGTGTATAGAAAATGCTATGTTTATTTGTGATTTTTAAGAGTTAATTAAATTAAATAATATTTAATTACAATTGATTAAATATTTTATTTAATTAATTAAACAAATTAAATAAAATCATATTTATAGTATAATACATAAAATAAAAACAATAAAATCAATTGAATATTTTAACTTTGGTCATTTTAATATTTATTATAAAGACAACAACTATTATACATTTTATATGAACCAGATTTGTAAACACAAATTTCATCAACAAGACGTTATATTTGTATGGTTTGTTATTTTTGTACTTTTCTTGAAATACACATTATCTTATCTAGTTATAATCTACCTTGTATTGGTGTTGTATAAAGTTGTGTTATTTTTCAAAACTCTTTTCTTCTATCAATTAATACATGAAATTTGTTATATTTACCTACTTTTCTCTTATAACTCTTTCTTTCATCTCTTTCACGTTTCATAACCAAACAAATCATAAAAAACAAGAATAATATAACCCTGATAAATAATATACACGTTGTACTCATGTACTATAAATTCTATCAGATGTAACATTTACCCAAATCAAATTATCTACAAAATATATAAAATAGAAGAAAAAAAATTAAGATTAAAAATGGGTTCTTATAGTACCTTATCAAGCAACTCCACCATGAAAGCATCATCATCAGAAGCAGAAGTAATTCATTACTTGTTCGGTGGGTTAGCAGTCATTTTCGGAGTCATCACATTATCATTGCTCATCATATCATGTTATTTCTGGAAACAATTTTTATCTTTTGCATCATCTAATGATGAAGAAAAATCATCCAATATGCATGTTATGGATACGGATCAGGTAGTTTCAGAGGCAGAGATCGTTGTGATAATGCCGGGGGAGACTAACCCTACTTATTTTGCTAAGCCAGATTCTTCCATAAGTCATCCTGATCACCAAGATCTTTAGAAGTTTTCCTTATCGTCAAATTTTTCTTTGTTTTCTTTATACGTTTATAAATAAAATTTGTTATTATCTTTTTAAACTTAAAAGAATCGCACAACCTTAATAAAGGTTCAAGCATGGGTAGATATATTGATCCTTGATTATTTCCTATATGCTTAGATTTTCAGGAGATGTAAATCTAATCTAGAGAATCTATCATATGATGCGACTAATTCAAAATGCGATTTATGCGTTTAATATATATATATATATATATATATATATATATATATATATATATATATATATATATATATATATATATATATATATATATATATATATATATATATATATATATATATATATATATATATATATATATATATATATATATATATATATATATATATATATTATTTCGAAGAGTTAATCTCAATTCAGGTTATTCATGCTGATTGATGTATTTTTGGCATAATGAAAGATAATAGCGTGAAAAGTATGTGTATGAGGTGTAAAAATAAATAATGGGTGGTTGCTTGCAATTTTTATCTTTTGGACCATAATATAATCAATTTTTTTTTTAATAATAGTATGGTAATGTAATGAATAAATTAATGGTATTCAATTATGTTTTTTGAGAAATGTATCTAATATTTCTCTTTTATTTTTGGGAACTTAAGAACTGTTCTTGCTAAAATATGGTATATGAGACCTTATAGGTAGAAGGGTATGGCTAAATATAATATGATATTTATTACATAATGAAACATGATTCATGTAATGCTACACAATAGTGTGAAAAGTATGTTTATAACATGTACGAGGAGAAAAATAAGGGATGTTTCTTGTGATTTTAATATTTTGGGCTGTCAAAATGAAACTTTTTTAAATCATGGTAATGTAAAATAAACGAATTAAAGGTATTCTGCTGTCCTTTTTAGAAATCCATCTCATATTTCTATGATTATGTTTTGAAAAACTAAACCATTTTAATAGAAAGAAATTTTATATTCTAGACCAGCCTAAAAGTGTTTATTTTATTAAATGTGTTGGGCTCTTAAAATATGATTATGTTTTGAAAAACTAAACCATTTTATAAGAAAGAAATTTTATATTCTAGACCAAGTTCTAAGTGTTTAGTTTTAGGATAAATATGATTGCATCTTTCTTTTAATATATCGTCCTATATATAACATTCTTAGTACTATACGTATGTCGCTTACATAGGAATAAGCGAAATCAATTGATAACTTCAAGGTTCAAGGTGTTTCTCTGTCAATCATGAGTGTGCTCCTAGTGACTGTGACCAAGTAAATGAAAGTGTGAGTGAGAGTTTTTTACTTAAGGAAAAGATTGATTTATAGTTTATTTGATTAGAAGATGGATCATTAAACTTAGTTTTATGTGTCGGTAATTCTCCATTGTGAGATTTTGGTCGAACTCTAACTCTATCGAGAAATAACTTTTATGTATTTCGACAGGAGACAAGTATGAAATTGAAGATAGGTTGTGTGTTATGATCGAAGGATACATATTGTAGTCAAAGTCTGTTCTAATATGTATTATTGAAATGTATGTCGAATTGGGCTTTGTGTTAAGTATCCAATTGTTTAGTTAGTTTGTATTGTAAGTTAGCTAGTTAGTCTATAAATAGGCTAGATCACTCAGGTTGTTGAGTGAGCCCAATTGTTTTAATCATTTGTAATCTTTTGTAATATTGAGAAAGTGAATAGTATAGAAATTTGTCCTAATTTTTCATCTTCTTTCTTCTTTATCCTTTCTTCTTTCTTTCTTTGTTCTAACTGTTTTCATTGTTCACCCAAGAACTTCATTTCTAAATCTTTATTTGTTTGAAGGTATCTTTTGTGATCACAACAAACTGATGCAGTGAGCATGGAGAGGATGCTGTCAACAAAGTTTAAAATTGAGAAGTTCATCGGAGTTAATGATTTCGGTTTAATGGCGTTTGAAGATGTGAGCCCTTCTTTTTCAATATGATTTGCTAGAAGCGTTAAAGGGAGAAGATGTCATGGATGCTACATTGACGAAGAAGGAAAAGCTAACGATGATCGAGAAAGTCCACAATGAAATTGTTCTGAGTCTTAGTGATAAGGTTCTCAGCCAGGTTTCAAAGGAGACGACGACAGCTGGTGTTTGGCTGAAACTCGAAGGATTGTATATGACAAACTCATTGGTGAATCATTTGTACTTGAAGGAAGCTTTGTACTTATTCAAGATTAATGAAGATAAAGTGTTGACGGAGCAGCTGGATACGTTCAAAAAGTTGATTCTTGACCTTGAAAATATTGATGTTACCATCAATGACGAAGATCAACCGTTGTTATTATTTGTTGATACAGTAAAGCAGCAAACAAAAAACATTAAGTACCTAGTTTTGTCGTCTCCACAGGGATCGATGCGATACGAATGTCGATCAATGATTTCCATATTTCTAAGCCTATTGTTCAAAAGTTTTGGTTTAAAAGGTTCAAGGAACCATGAATAAAAACAGAAAATATAAAGACGGAAAATATAAAGTAAGACTAAAATATAAACGGAGCCTTGTTGGGATTGGATTTCATCAATTCATAACATATGCATTCTTCTGACCAAATTAAACAAACGCAATCGTTCGTCTAATACCCTTGCGTATCACCCACGACAGAGGTTATCTCTAACGCAACGTCGAGAGGACAACTGTGTTGTCTCATTGGTGATCTCTCATCCAACAAAAAACACAAAACAGAGCATTATGAATTGATACTCGCGCAAATGCTAAGTCTAAACCTATCTCTAGCATTTAGAACCTAACAGGTAAACATTCTAGATCAAGATCTGAAGAGTATATCTCTATCACGGTTCAAATCAAAGATAAACATGTAAGCAAAGATGACACCCATATCAGATAAACGATTGTTTTGCATAAAACACAATGATCAAAATACGTACACACGCTTAACCCTTTTTACATGTATTCATCTAATCCGCCAAATGGTTGTGAACATCGTTCTTCTTCACTATTATCACGCACCCGCACAATATCATATTGATCCTACTCATGCTACCCATGCTACTTAATCAACACAACACCATAGAAGATACAGTGAATATCAACATACAAAACCATGTTAAAAGTTTGTTCATTGATAGAAGAAAATCTTAGATCAAAGATGTAAAAAGATTTTGTCAAGACCCACAAATACGCAATCAAAGATAATCAATCAATAGAGAATCCAAACTAGTTCACAAACATAAATTAGATGAAATACATAAGGTATCAAAAGATTACATCCATACCCCAACAAGAGATCAAAGATCTTACCTCCTCCCTCTTAGGGTTTTGTGTTTCTCTCTCTAAAATAGATTAAGAGAGATAAGTTATGTTATTCCAATCTTACAAAAATGTGGATTATGACCTAAAAAGCAATAAAAACACTTAAATAGAACATTCATGATCTGTCATGTTCGCCTAGCGAACAGATCCTTCGCCTATCGAACAGTAAGTTAGGCACGTGAGGTGCCTCTGAACAGTCAAACCGCCCCTGAGACTTTTCCAAATGTTCGCTAGGCGAGCAATCCTTCGCCTAGCGAAGCCTTCGTTGCGAACTTCGCCTAGCGAGTTTATGGTTTTTTTCGCCTCTGTCCAAGTCTGGGAGTGTGCACTAGAGCTTCGCTACCACTTCGCATAGCGAGTCCTTCGCTTCATAGTTCGCCTAGCAAACTTCATGATGTTCTGGAGGGAGCTTCGCTAGCAAGTTCGCCTAGCAAACTTGTTGTTGTTTGCATCCTGTCTTGATTTCTTTGTCATATTTCTTGTGTCTTAATTTCCATTTTTTTGTGCCTAATTCCTGCACAATAGCACACAAATCAAATGTACCAAGAGATTTTCACAATATATTGCAAACCAACCAAAGCAAGAGTGGTATCAACACTTTCTTGACAAAAATGAGTGAAAGATGCCAACATTTGATAGATCAAATAAGCGAAATTTGGCATCTAACAACTCTCCCCAACTAGATTTTTCCTTGTCCTCAAGTAAAGTATGCCTCTCATTTCGCAATAAGAGGATTTTCTCAAGGTTAAGATTCACCCAAGAATGGATGAAATTGGCTCAAACACAAATGATGCAAACAAGCAATGGTTTCAAATGTTGAGAATCAAACAATGCACAAGAACTAAATTCTTAAAGCAAATATTAAACCATGGTTCAATCAACAACTAATTTTTTCATGAATGAATCACTATATCTCTTCTCTTAGAATAAGGATTGAAGAAATTACGCGTTTGCAACCGCGGGTACAAGTTCACTCACCTAACAAACAATGTCAATATCAATCCAATTCATACAATATCTAACAATCAAAAGTGAAAATATGGAAGCAAAAAGATCACTAAGGTCTTTAAGGTTGTAGCTTGGTCGGGTTTACAAACAAGGGACATTTCAAAGGCCATTGAAACGAAATTGCCGATGCAAAAGAGACATTCACCGTACATGATATTTACACACCTCAACTTCATTCCATTTGTTTCTTAATTGCAAACCTTCCCAAGTTTATTTCACAACTTATTCTTTCACTCTTTTTCTTTTCCAAGCAAACATGCTTTTTCTCATTTTTTTTTACATTCATATTCACATAGCAATTTTTTCAATGCTTGCTTGAATTTTTCAAAAGTTGTAGCAACCTACTATCTTTCCTTTTCATTCTCCCCAACTTATCTTTTACTCAACCCTCAAGTGAATGCTCTTGGCTTTTTATGGAAAAGAGGACAATTAAAACAAATTCAAGATTTCAAGAAAAATTTTGGAATCTCACAAAATTCAGAATGAGATTCACATTGTTTAGGCTCATAGGGGTTAACGAATTCTCTTTACTCATGGGTAAGTTGCTTTTGGACATAGTTGTTCTCAATATTAACAAGTTCCTTGATCATTTCTAATGCTTCCACAAATTCACAATGATAACAAGATAAATCATGACTCAAATGAATCAACAAAGTTTATCAAAAATCCAGCATTTAGT